TGAAAATTAAGTTAATATATGATTAACACATCATGGCCAGTTGATGTGGAGCCAACCATTCAGAAGGAGAGAAACAAGATCAAAGAAATCCTTAAATTCAATATGTAAGGTCAAACTATACGTATTATGCATGGCTGTAACCATGTGCATATTCTTGCTCTTTGCCTGTTTAGAACAATTCACTAGGTGTCAATAAACTCATCCATTCAAACCTAAATGCAAAACGGGGGGGGGGTGTTATTCACCTGCTTCTCTCATTTTCCTGCAGGTGTTACCGTTGCTCTGTGCACACAATTGGCTGCAACGTCTGTCGGAAATTTTAATTTGGCATGTCTTGACTTTCTCCCAGCATCGCAGTTCTCCTCAGTCATCATTTCTCCTCATTTTTTGTGCTTGCCACAGTCTCTTGCTAGCAATAGTTAGGAGTTTCAACCGTTTAGCTGACTATATAACAAGAGATCCACTCGGATTCAGATCGTAAAAGGAAGGAATAAAAGTAGCAGGACAACAGTGGGAGAAAAAAAAAAGGATGTGAATGGGCTCTACACTAACTTTTGCACTGGTAAAAGTGGTGCGACCAATATTTCAGTTGGTTGCACAAGCATAGATTTGGTCGCACCCTTTTGACAGCATGTATAGCATGATCATATTTGCTGAAGTATAGTGATCAAAATTGGCATAGCGTAGTTTCACATTATATTAAGGTGGAAAGTAACTCAAGATATATTTGAAGAATATTTTGCTCCAACAAGAACTTTGTTTGCGACAAGCAGCGGCTGAAAAAGCAGACCAATTATTTTGTATAACTTTAAAAGAAGACAAAAAAAAACCAGAAAACGATACCACAGAAAAAAATTAAAACATCAGTAAAAAGCAGAAAATACACAGTAATAGCTGACAGCATTTTTTTTGTATTAGTTGAACAAAATACTATAAAGGTACAAATTAGAATGCTTCTGATAACATAAAAACTACATTTTGCACATTTTTAAACACAAATTGAACATGGAAAAAAAAATCATCCATTTCATAATTTATATTCACGCCACGGCACCAAAAGATTTGTTGTTCATTATTTAAGCCTTTGGGGAGTGTAAAATCTCATTGGCAGCATGATTGCCAGAACCGTCCTGGAAATAGATCGTCCGTTCAGGAAAATTAACAGATTTTTTCCAAAATTCTCGATGGTCACCTCACCCACATTTATATAAAGAACATGTAGTACAGTTTATAGAGGCTGGTGAAAACTCTGTATGTCCAACCAATTTTTTTTCTCTTCTCTCTTCCATTTGTTCACTTATTTTGCCTTTGTCTGCGGCCACAGCGACATAGAAGAATTTGAGGTAGCAGCAGCAGAAGATTGAGGGGAACAAATTACGGTCATTTTTTGTTGCCTGACTCGTGTTAAATAAACACATAATAGAAAATTAGATCACGGCTCATTTTACGTTTTTCGTTTTCCAATTTTTAGCTGAAAAATGGGACATCGCTCGTTCCGTTCTCGGGAGACTGCAACACTGCCTCTTAGTGGCTGGAGGAAATATGGCCTTTCCACACATCTGAATACCTGAAACCTGTGCGTGAGAATACCTTTTAATGGCATGTGTCGTTTGTCTCAAAAATAAACGTGCATGTCAGCTGATCCACAAATGCACATTCAACACTTTACAAGCAGAATTGAATCTTTACAAGCAATAAGTCATGGTAAATGCACACACACATTAAAACCAACAACATATGTGAAAATCAAGCGTATATTTGTGGATCTGCAAAACAAGTGAAAATCTCATATGCATGTGGATCTTGAAAATGTGAAAATTGCGGATATAAATGCAGCCATCCATCCATCCATACATTGTGTGTTTTGAAACAATGTAATCCAATTGAGTTTGAGAATAGTGAGAATTTAAAATTTCAATAAACTTATTGGGACATATATCAAACAATGAAGTGCGACTGGAGACCAACAAACCAGAAACCAAATGCTGAGTTTTAATCTTTTGATTTTGATTAGTATTTGCTAGTAGCAATGTGTTCAAGAGATCTTATTGAACGTAAAACTATTTGTCCAATGGCATGGATGGAACCTGTGGTGATAGACTAACAATTTACAAGACATCACAGAAGAGAAATGAAGAGATAACGTGTTTGAGTACATGTAGTTACGCTGCCACTTATGCAAGTATTTAACTGTGCAAATTTAGGAATTCGTATCATGAGATATTTAAAATGGCTGAAACGAATAGTCTATAAAATCTGTTGACAACACAATTCACACTCAGTACTGACTTAAGGTAAAAATTAGGATTCATTTTAATCAATAAATTCAATTTATTGATCAAATTAATGCGAACTTTGAATACACTTTGAATACCTGTACACCTCAAAGAAAATACGTTTCTATGACGGTAAATATAACAAAGCTTTTAAACGTGGTTCCATATTAACATACATTTTGGAACTAATATTCAAGTTTCTTCAGGTGAACTGCACCTTTGCTGCGTTAGCTTGAGTCAAACAACTGCGCCAACGGGAGGGCTGTCACATACATGGTTCGAACAACCCGTGCGACGCCTTCACAAATAAACATGCGTTCATAACGGTGGTTGAATAAACGTAAATTGAAATAAAAGGTGATTTATGACCTGTGAAGACTTCTGTGAAGACATTTATATTGCATTGTCCTCCCCCGGTGTTTAAGTAGCGTCCATCCGACAGCCTCGTAGGTTACTCCAGTGGTCTGCTCGCTGTAGTAGAAATGAGCGACGCTTTCCAGAGTACACTCCCGTTTCCAACCTGCGCAAAGATGATTGGCTACCAAGCCCGTCATTCAGAGAGAACCGTGAAGTAGGCATAGCAACCGTAAAAAGGCGTTTTTAAGAGTGAATACTAGTATCCTATTGGTTGATTAATTCCATATGAAGACACGCCTTGGCTCAGCTGCAGATATTAGATAGCGTTTGTCATTTAATGGTGGCTTCTCTTGCTGTAACTAAGAATATTGCCAATTTACAACGCGGGCCAAAGTCTGTGAATATCATTAGCTTCAGTTTGATACCACTCCCACATACAATGCTTTGCAGTGAATGCTATTTGTCGTGACCGCTATTCACTGCTACTTTCAAATTCAACTGTAGACAATCCTAATTAGCAAGCGACGGCACCCCCACCTGGATTATGACACCAACTACATCAACATCACTAAACTAGGCATCTGAGACACTCCTTCACCTTCACCAATGTTTCTCAAAACTTCATTGAGCCAAAACATCCGTTTTAAAATTTCACCACCAATGTCAAAAAGTTTAAATACTGGGGCAAACAAATACTGAAATAATGATCTCGTCTCAATTTACTTTAATGGAATTGGTGTGGCTTGGGCCTCTTTAACTGCACGAAAATGTCATATTTGCAAGCAGCCATGATTTCTTTTGTTGTATGAATGGCAACATGTCAATACATGTACGCAGGTTTATTGCACGTTTTGCCACCTAAAGAAGAATAGTTAATTATTCTGCCGCTCACGACAGCGCTGCAAGGGGCATGCAGAGGGCCCGTATCCCCATGCATCCACCCGAGAAGGGTCATTCACTGAGATAAAACACTTCTATTCTCTATACAGACATCAAATAGAGGCAACAGGAAGACATTTCCCCTTGTAGTTCAATACTTCAATCAGCCGGGCCACAAACAAAATGCTCAATATAATTGAGAATACAGATTAGTCCCCTGCTGGGATTCTAGCTCACATAGAGGAGTCTCTGGACAAAGTAGGTTTATTATTTGACAAATCAGTGTATAATTAAGACAATACACATGTGAATTATGGAATTCATGACTCTTTCTTTCCTAACTTAAAAAACGACGATGATCTCCTCCAAGGAAACTGCACTGAACATTGCACATTGTGCACAACACAGTGAGGCAGGCTCTTGACAATCCCACTGTAGCTGTGGAAAACATTATGCTCAACATCAATGCCTTCTTTTCCACATATTCCAAAAGGAGAGAACGACGCAATGAGTTTTGTAGGTTTTGTGATGATGATGAAAACATTGAAAACAATGACACAAATAAAAATGTAACACTGCTACGATTGCTGCGTCCACAGGGTCTGCTCACTGTCATGGGACTATGCTGATGCATACGTATATGGCACGCATGCTCATATTTCATGTTTTATAAAATTTTTATCATTCATCTGACTCGGAAGTGAGTGGTCCTATGTGGCCCACCAATAGCACTGATGAAAAACTGTGGCTCCTTCCGGCCTTTACATTACCTATCCCTGATCTACTGGTTGAACTTAATATAACAGGAGTGGAGAATTAAATTTGAAAACAGGGCCACATGAGAAACGGCAACACTTGCCGAGGGACAACTCAGCATGCTAACCAACAACTTTGTCTATATTATTTTTAATGTATTTAGAAAAAGCTTTTTCTCTTGTTTCAATAAATTGCGACGTGTGTATGTTTGGATTCTTATTGTTTACACATGCATCCATCCATCCATTTTTTTTATCCGCTTATCCTCACAAGGGTCGTGGGGGGTGCCGGAGCCTATACCAGCCGTCTTCGGGCAGCAGGCGGGGGACACCCTGAACCGGTTCCCAGCCAATCTCAGGGCACACACAGACAAACAAGCACCCGCACTCACACTCACACCACGGGACAATTTAGAGTGTTCAATCAGCCTGCCATGCATGCTTTTGGAATGTGGGAGGAAACAGGAATACCCAGAGAAAACACATGCAGGCCCAGGGAGAAAATGCAAACTCCACACAGGAAGGCCGGAGCTGGAATTGAACACGGTACCTCTGCACTGTGAGGTCAATGCGCTAACCACTGGAACACCGGGCCACTGCAAATACACATTTTAAAAAAAATTATAAAGAGTCATTAAAAAAACAAATTACATGTTCACACTTTTAAAATGAGAATAGTGAGTTTGTGCATTAACCGTCAACACATTAGTCGTTCCTAATCAGGACTCTCAAATAAATTGAAAAGTGTGAAGTATTTTATTAAGAGCAATGTATAATAATACAGTGATGACTTATAATACACCCTGTATGGATTCGTACTGCACATTTATCTTTGCGTAGAGTAATGTCAGGCATCCTGGCCCTCTCCCTATCCCTGTGCAGGAATTAAGAATGTTGCTAACATAAGGACCACTGACGTTATTTTTGCTTGCCTTTTTTTTTTTGGTTTGTTTTTTTTTTCAGAAAAAGTTGCTTGGGGAGTTCGGAAAAGACGCTTTATATTGTGGAAACACGGTGTAGTTGGCAACACTTCAGACATGTAGCTCTTGCTCACTACCTCGCTTGTATTAGTGTTCACACGTGCACAAAAGCAGTACAGTACTTTCAAAATAAAACTAAACGTTTTACTATTGACTTCATTGTGACTGTGAGGGACAGTCATAACAGGTTTGTTAAGCAGTATCTTCAAATGTACTAGCCACTGTGAATGAATTCTACTGTAAGTTGCTTGTAATGGTTGATGTCGTACATTGAAAATCAATGTTAGTTGATTATTATTGTCCTACAATAAATCAGTAGTAAATGCCCAGTGTGTATCTCATTCCAGGGCAAATAAAGTACCACTAGCGCTGAGATAGAGATACATTTTTCACAAGGATGATGATTTGTTTTTTGTATTTTTCTTGCAACAATTCTTAAACCATCCCCCTTTCGACTGTTTTTTGGTCTTTTCTTTGTTTTCGGCTTTGTGCCTCGTTTGTGGGTTGCTTGTGCAACTTTCATTATCTTTGTTATCCTTTGTTCTCTGGTGGCGTTCAACCTCGCTGTGTTTTTCCTCCTCTGTTACTTTGTGGCTAGCAAGCTCTTTATCTGTTGCATGATTATGTTCACCAGATTGGCCACCACTGGTTTGGACATCCTCCGAGCTCTTGGTAGCAGGTGGCACTTTGTCCAACAAGCTCAATTCAGACAGTTTTTTCTGTCGCTCCAATTCCTTTTGTGCCTGATTCGATGCAACCTGCTCCATAATCATCTGCCGCATATTGGAGGCTCTGCGTTGTTGAAGCTTGAAATCTAAGTCTCGTTTCCGTTGCTCTATTTGTTGCTGAAAATAGTGGTCTTTGGAGGGAAAGTTCTTAAACGTTTGTGTGAATGGAGTGGCGAGCGATGCAGGTGTCATACTCGTTCGAGTCACTCCAGTTACTTTAAAATCATACTCAGCTGATGCAAAAATGTTCTCCATTCGTGGTCCATCAGTGGCTTCTTGTTTCGTAAGTGCTGCTGTGGTTTTGTCCTCTTGGGGTGCTATTACGCCATGAGAACATGTGGCTGTGGTTTCCTCCTCGTCCTCATCTTGAGGTGCAGCACTAGGTTCCTCTTCATCCTCTGCCTCCTCCCAGAGTACATCACAGTTTTTTTCCTTACCCTTTTTTTCTTGAGGCAAACCAATGGGTTTCTCTTCCTCCTCTTCCGATGTTGTATCAGTGATTCCCCATTCGGGTTCTGAAGTTGCCTCCTCCTCCAGAGGAGCATCATTTGTGCTGTGCTCCCTAAGTCCTGCATAGAACTCAAGCACATCGGTTGAATGAGTTATATCTTGCTCCATAGGTGCTGCATGCAGAAGTTAACAGATGAAGCTCCTTTCGGTTATGTGGCTCTTTTATGTGGGTAAACTGTGTTGACGAGCCATAAAAACGTACTCTGACCAACCTTATTTTAACCACCCATCCATCCGTTGCCCAAACCTCTGATCCTCATGAGGGTCGCGTAGCCAGAAATATGAACACCGTCTACGCCTGCGTTATGTGACGTCATAAAAACAAAAAAATCGCCTTGAAATTCAACAAACAGGGAGGTTGACGAAGGTGCAGCGCGAGTTTTACGGACCTTCTATGCACGCCCACATTTTTATTGACAGGGATAAGAGACTCCCTGGGGGCCACAAACAAGAAATAAAATACGCGAAGTGCTGCGAGAATACCAAACTGGCACAGAAACCTGAGTAAACAAACAGGCTGTGCAACGGTAATATACGGTTGATATAATGTGAGCACGGTAGGCAAACTGTATCAACAGTATATTGTTTGACTGCATGAGTTATTAACGGCTGTATCGGGAGAAAAGGGAGACACAATCATGGGCGTCATTAGGCCTATTTTAGGGAGGCTTCAGCCTCCCTAAAAATGTCTTTAGCCCCCCTAAATAATTTCATTGCATTATTTAAAAAAAAGTATCATTTATTTTTCCTGTACTTTTGCTAATATATTGCATCAAATTCAATGTAATGTGGCCATTTTAAATTATATTTCGATAACCT